ATACTCAATGGTGAAAAACTGAAAGCATGTCCACTGAGATCAGGAACAAGACAAAGATGTCCACTCTCACCACTCTTATTCAATTTAGTTTTGGAAGTCCTAGCCACAGCAATCAGAGAAGAAAAAGAAATAAAAGAAATACAAATTGGAAAAGAAGAAGTAAAACTGTCACTGTTTGCCAATGACATGATACTATACATAGAAAATCCTAAAGGTGCCACCAGAAAATTACTAGAAGTAATCAATGAATTTGGTAAGGTTTCAGGATACAAAAGTAATATACAGAAATCTCTGGCATTCCTATACACCACCAATGAAAAATCAGAAAGAGAAATTAAGGAAACACTCCCATTTACCACTGCAACAAAAAAGAATAAAATACCTAGGAATAAACCTGCCTCAGGAGGCAAAAGACGTGTACTCAGAGAACTATAAAACGCTGATGAAAGAAATCCAAGATGACATAAACAGATGGAGAAATATAACATGTTCTTGGATTGGAAGAATCAATATTGTGAAAATGACTATATTACCCAAAGCAAGCTACAGATTCAATGCAATCCCTATCAAACTACCAATGGCATTTTTCACAGAACTAGAACAAAAAATTTCCCAATTTGTATGGCAACACAAAAGACCCCGAATAGCCAAAGCAATCTTGAGAAAGATAAATGGAGTTGGAGGAATAAGCTCCCCAACTTTAAACTATACCACAAAGCTACAGTAATCAAGACTGTATGGTATTGGTACAAAAACAGAAATATAGATCAATGGTACAGGATAGAATTCCCAGAGAAAAACCCACACACATATGGGCACCTAATTTATGACAAAGGAGGCAAGAACATACAATGGAGAAAAGACAGCCTCTTCAATAAGTGGTGCTGGGAAAACTGGACCACTACATGTAAAAGAATGAAATTAGAACACTCCCTAACACCATACACAAAACTAAACTCCAAATGTATTAAAGACTTAATTGTAACACCAGACACTATAAAACTCTGAGAGGAAAACATAGGAAAAACACTCTTTGACATAAACCACAGCAAGATCTTTTTTGACCCATCTCCTAGAGTAATGGAAATAAAAATAACAAATGGGACTTAGTTAAACTTAAAAGCTTTTGCACGGCAAAGGAAACCATAAACAAGACAAAAAGAGGACCCTCAGAATGGGAGAAAATATTTGAAAATGAAACAACAGACAAAGGATTAATCTCCAGGATATACAAACAGCTCATGGAGCTTAATATCAAAAAAACAAACAATCCAGCTAAAAAATGGGTGGAAGCCCTAAATAGACATTTCACCAAGGAAGACATACAGATGGCCAAGAGGCACATGAAAAGATGCTCAACATCACTAATTATTAGAAAAATGTGAATCAAAACTACAATGAAGTATCACCTCATGCCAGTGAGAATGGCCATTATCAAAATATCTAGAAACAATAAATGCTGGAAAGGGTGTGGTGAAAAGGGAACCCACCTGCACTGTTGGTGGGCTCCTTAATTGATATAACCACTATGGAAAACAGTATGGAGGTTCCTTAAAAAACTAAAAATAGAACTACCATATGACCCAGCAATCCCACTACTGGGCATATACCCTGAGAAAACCATAATTCAAAAATAGACATGTACCACAATGTTCACTGCAGCTCTATTTACAATAGCCAGGACATGGGACCAACCTAAATATCCATTGACAGATGAATGAATAAAGAAGATGTGGCACATATATACAATGGAATATTACTCAGCCATAAAAAGAAATGAAATTGAGCTATTTGTAGTGAGGTGGATGGACCTAGAGTCTGTCATACAGAGTGAAGTAAGTCAGAAAAAGAAAAACAAATACCATATGCTATCACATATATATGGAATCTAAAAAAACAAAAAAAAGTTCTGATGAACCTAGGGCAGGACAGGAATAAAGACGCAGACATAGAGGATGGACTTGAGGACACAGGGAGGGGGAAGGGTAAGCTGGGACGAAGGGAGAGAGTAGCATTGACATACATATACTACCAAATGTAAAATAGATAGCTGGTGGGAAGAAGGCGCATAACACAGGGAGATTGGATCTGTGGTTTGTGATGACCTAGAGGGGTGGGATAAGGAGGATGGGAGGGAGGTTCCAGAGGGAGGGGATATGGGGACATGTGTATGCATATGGCTGATGCACTTTGTTATGCAACAGAAACTAACACAGTATTGTGAAGCAATTATACTCCAATAAACATCTATTTAAATAAATAAATAAGCAAGAAGGATTTACAGTATAGCACAGGAAATTACATTCAAGATCTTGTAATAACCTATAATGGAAAATAATCTGAAAAAAAAATATATATATATAACTGAATATCTTTGCTGTATACCTAAAACTGAGACAATATTGTAAATTAATTATACTTCAATAAAATTCTTATCTATATACAATATATACAGTTATATAATATATATCTACAAATTCATTTGCATACACTCATTGTTTTTCCATAAATGCTTAAATGTGATCAATTCAGACACACTGATATTTTTTAATTGAAGTAAAGTTGATTTACAGTGTTGTAATAGTTTCAGGTGTACAGCAAAGTGATTTAGTTATATATATATATATATATATATATATTCTTTTTCAGATTCTTTTCCATTATAGGTTTTTACAAGATATTAACTATAGTTCCCTGTGCTATACAGTAGGTCCTTGTTGTTTATCTATTTTATATATCGTATATGCCGGGTTTTTTTTTAAAGCAACCATCTTTTTAACTTGGCATCTCCCTTCTTATTCTCTCCCTAATCTTTGCAAATATTACCCCCTCTTAACTATGTAGCCCCTGTGAACGATCTGTAGTAGTATGCGTCTTCCCATCATTTCCTCCATGCGTCCCTAATTGTTTCAATAAATACATGTTTATATTGCATATGGAAAGTGGTGAAAGCCCTTATAAAAATAGGATGTTGTGCATGCTTTCCTGCATTTTGGCTTTTCACTCAGAGTTTCCTCATGGAATTCCCTCCGAATCAAGCGGCAAGCCTAAGTTGATCTTTGTAATGGCTTAATCCGTGGTTTGACTGTGCTATAATTTATTCAACCACCCCCTCTTGGTGAGCATTTGGTTTTCCTGTGCACCACATGGCAGCCTAAATGCCACTCACAGATTGTGACTCGGCGGCTGAACGCCCTCCAGAGGCGCCCTCTCACTCAAAATGAATTCCAAAGGCCTCATAGTGGCCTTCGAGGCCCTAAGTGATCCCTCCACTCTCATTTCCCTGCCCTCCTCCCTGTCCCAGTATTCTCTGCCTCACTGTCTCTGCTCCAGCCACACTGGCTTCCTTGATGCTCCTCAAACCTTCGTTCCCACCACTGGGCCTTTGCACATGCTATTCTCTGTCACAGATGTCTGCACAGCTCACCTCCTTACCTTCTCTAGCACTCTCTCAAGAATTTATCTCTAGCTTCCCAGTGTAAATAAGCAACGCCTCTTTCCCTTGGCATTCTGTATCTCCCTTTCCTGCTTAATTTTTCTCCCTAGCACTTATCACTTGTTTATTTGTTTATTATCTGACTCTTCCCACTAGAATGTAGACTGTACAGGGCAGGAATCTGTTTTGCTCAATTCCATATCCTCAGTGTCTACAACGGTGCCTGGCACTTAGTAGGGTTCAATAAATATTTATTAACTGGTTTAATGAAGGCATGAATAAATGAACAAATAAAACTACACAGGTTAATGTGGGATGTGGACCACCACTGGACACAGAATAGCATTGAATTAGAACCAGAACAGAGACAATTTTTGTGGCCCTATCAAATTAAAGTTTCACCAAAGTCTTAGCAAAGAGGAACTGGACATAACACCAGAATTGCACTGTGTTTGAGACTTAATCACAGATACATACACGCTTAGATACTCACTGAACTATAAAGAGCTTATTCCATGCAATAGATCAGCCAGTGTTGTCCTTGTTAAATCCAGACTAACCCATCTGGTCCCATCACAGAGAGCTCTGTATCCAGTAGGTTATAAATGAAGAAACACTGCGATAATACTGCACAGTAACTGAAAGCCCTGGCCCTGGAGTCTGACTCCCTGGGTTTAAACCCCAGCTCTGCCAGTTACCTCTGTGTGAGCTTGGACAAATTACTTAACCTCTCTGTGCCTCATCTTCCTATGTGTCCAATGCAAATAAGAAGAATACCTAAATCAAAAGTCATACCGTATGCTAACACATATATATGGAATTTTTTAAAAAATGGTACTGATGAACCTAGATGCAGGGCAGGAATAAAGATGTAGACATAGAGAATGGGCTTGAGGACACGGGGTGGGAGGGGGAAGCTGGGGCGAAGTGAGAGTAGCATCGACATATATACACTACCAAATGTAAAATAGTTAGCTAGTGGGAAGCAGCCGCATAGCACAGGGAGATCAGCTCGGTGCTTTGCGATGACCTAGAGGGGTGGGATAGGGAGGGTGGGAGGGAGGCTCAAGGCGGGGTGGGATATGGGGATATGTGTATGCATATGGCTGATTCACTTTGCTGTACAACAGAAACTAGCACGGTATTGTGAAGCAATTATACTCCAATAAAGATCTATTTTTTTAAAAGTCTCATATGCAGAATCTTTAAAAAAAAAAAAGGATACAAATGACCTTATTTACAAAACAGAAACAGACTCACAGACTTAGAGAACAAATTTATGGTTACGGGGGTGGAAGGGTCAAGGAGAGGGATAGATTGGGAGTTTGGGATTGACATGTACTCACTGCTATATTTAAAATAGATAACCAATAAGGACCTACTGTATAGAACAGGGAACTCTGCTCGATACTCTGTAATAACCTAAATTGGAAAATAATTTGAAAAAGAATAGATACATGTAATGTGTAACTGAATCACTTTGCTGTACACCTGAAACTAATACAACATTGCTAATCAACTATCCTCCAATATAAAATAAAAGTTTTTTTTAAAGTCTCTTTGTGCACAGGACAAATGAGTTAATACACGTAAAACACTTAGAACAGAACTTGGCCCATAACAAGCACTCATAGTTGTTCTGGACGTTAAAGAACACAAACTCCAGAGACAGACTGCCTGGGATCAAACACAGGCTCTGCTACGAACGAGCTGTGTGACCTTGAGCAAGTCACTTAACCTCTATGATTCAGTTTCATTACCTGTAAAATAGGGATAATCATAATCTCTCTTCCCAAGAGCGTTGTGAGAATTAAATATGTTAATGTATATAGAACCTAAAATAACATCTGACCCATATTAAGCGCCATAAGTCATGTAGATGTTTGCTGTCGTCATCGTCGTCATCACCACATATGCAGCCCAGATTCTGAGTTACAGAGAAGAAAGAGCAGACAAAAAGCATCTGTCATATAAGAGCGCTTAAGGAACACCTGTCCCTTCACTGGCCTGCATACAGGTAGTTCTTTGCTCTTCCCACCAAACTTGTACCTGACATGTATCCCAAACCACTGTCCCTCACTTTTCTCTACCTCAACAGACTTAGCCTGTTAGCCTTAGTTTTCTGTGCTCCCAGAATACCTTGCCTTTGTCTGCAATTCACCCTCCCTGGCTGGAGGCTGCAGGTTCCCAAAGCTGTGGCCGTCTCATCTCTCACCAGAAGCTGCAGAGGGAACATGCCAGGAAAGCCTGTGGAGGTGGAAACCAGAATAGGTCACAGCAGGGCTGGAAGAAGAGGACAGAGGGAAGAACTGAAGAGCTCACTGCTAATCTCTCTACCTCAGGGTCTTTCTCTGTAAAGTGGGGTTAATAACCACACTGAGTCCATAAAGTCACTTTGAGGATTGAATGAGAGGATGGGAAACACTCAGCTCAGCTCCTGGCAGATGGAGCAATGACCGGGAGGAGGACGAGTGGGAGAATACAAGTGTGCTCGGAGCACTAACAGATCACAGAACACGGCTTTTGCAGGGGTGAGATGTGGGGGACTCTAGTAAACTGTGTTGCCCACTTTTCCCTGGGGAAGGTTACACTTGCCTGCTCCATGGAGGCAGTCTTGTATATGTGACTCTTTTGGCCAATAGAATGCAAATGAGTGGGCTTCCCTGGTGGCGCAGTGGTTGAGAGTCCGCCTGCCAATGTAGGGGACACGGGTTTGTGCCCCGGTCCAGGAAGATCCCACATGCCGCGGAGCGGCTGGGCCCGTGAGCCATGGCCTCTGAGCCTGCACTTCCGGAGCCTGTGCTCCACAACGGGAGAGGCCACAACAGTGAGAGGCCCGCGTACCACAAAAAAAAAAAAAGCGCATGAGTGACATGGTACCTCTGGGCAGCAGCTTTAAGAGTCAGTGCATGATTTGCTGTACTCTCTTTTTCCTGCCTCAGCCACCACAGGGCATGTTTAGAGATGGAGCCTTGATCAGTCCGGAGGACTGAACCTCTGTGATGATCAGAGTCCTTTTGCTGGCTTGCAGCTGACATGTAACACTCATGAGAAGTGAATTTTGCTTTAATCCACTAAAACATGGAATTGTTAGTTGCATCAGCCTAAAAGCATCTTGGTGGTTTTGGAGCCTGAAATCAAGAAAGAGAATGTCAAGGGATATGTCTGGTAGGTGGGTGGGAGTCAGATCAGAGCCCGAGTGTGCTCAGGTGCTGAAGCTCTGTCCTGCAAATCGTTGGGAAGATGCTTCCGCCACGTCCTCCTGCCCTTGAAGGGCCCACAATCCTGTAACACATTCTTTGTGTGGTGCCGGATCAAGGGTCACATAACAATAACCAGCTCCAAAATCCTACATGGCCCCATCTTTGCCAAAAGATAAACTCACAACACTTCAATCCAGCATTTTAAAACCCATATACATGGCCCTACTTATCCCACTGCTTAGCAACGTGAATCGCCCACTCTAACCACAACAGTCTGCTTTACTGTCTGCGGCACAGGTTTTGGTGATCCTATATTTCAGCCTTTGTTCACATCTTTCTCTCTCACCTGTGTTGATCTTCTTCTCCTCCCAATGTATCAAAGTCCCAGTGGAAAGTTGCAGACCTTTGAGGGATTGGAGCTCTGGTCCTGGTTCATTTAATGGCACCCTGTTACCAATTTTTTTAAAATTCTCTTAACCACTCTGGTCCTTATCAGAAAAATGAAGATTATTGGACCAGATGCTCTCTCAAAGGTGCTTTTAATAATGTTTAGGATTTTAAATCCCATTCAGCCAAAGTTACTGTTCCCACCTCAAAACTCCTTTTCTCCTTATTTTGCACATATAAGATGCTGTCTTATGTTATCTAGTGTAAATGCCTCTCCCACCTCCACCCTCTTCCTGAACTTCTCCCCCCAACGACCTGCAGAATCTGCAATCTTTAATGCATTCATATTTCCCAGGCACAGGAGAACCTCTCTTCTCCAAGTCTCATATTTCCATTTGGAGGAGCCTCCTTAGTTAACATTCCCAGTCTCTCTTGATGCCTCCGGTCATTTCTCCCCTGGGATAGATGACTAACATGGTTGGTGTTTGGAAGAAGGAACAGGATATTGATGACTCAGCCCCCTTGAAGTGGTTCTCTTTTGGGATCTGTCTGCAGAGGATCCGTTCCTGGTTTACAGATGCCTGCCTTCCAGCTAAGTTCTTCCATGGTGGAGAGAGATCATGTCTCCTCTTACAAGGGTACTAATTTCATTCATGAGGGCCTCCACCCTCACCACCTAATTACCTCCCAAAGGCCCCACCTCCAAATATCATAGCAGTGGGAGATTAGGGCTTTGACATGTGAATTTTGGGAGGACTCAAACATTCAGTCCTTGACCCCCTGAAATTCATGCCTTTCTCACATGCAAAATACATTCATTCCATCCTAGGAGCCCCCATAATCTTAATTTATTCCAGCATCAACTCCAAAGTGTAATGTCTGAAGCCTCATCTAAATATCATTCAAATTAGATATGGGTGAGACCTGAGGTACATTTCATCCTGGGGCAAAATCCCTCTCCAACTGTGAACCTGTGAAACAAGACAAGTTATGTACTTCCAAAATTCAGTGGTGGGACAGGTGGAGGATACACATTCCTATTCCAAGAGAAATGGGAAAGAAGGAAGGGATGATGGGTCTCAAGCAAGTCTAAAACTTAGCAGGGCACAATCCATGAGATCTTAAAGGCTCAAGAATAATCATGTTCGGCTTGATGCTCTGCCTTCCTGACCCACTGGGGCAGTAGTCTTGCCTTGTAGAACATTCTCGGTACCAAAACCTGTATGAGTCAGGCTCCAGAGAAAAAGAGCCAGAGAGAGAGAGAGAAAATTGGCTGAGAAGTCTCGTGATCTGCCACCTGCAAGCTGGAGATACAGGAAAGCCAATGATGTAGTCCCAGGTTGAGTCCTAAGGCCTGAGAACCAGGGGAACCAATGGTAGAAGTCCCAGCTGGAGTCTGAAGACAAATGTTCCAGCTCTATCAGTCAGGCAGAGTTATCAGATTCTCCTTTCTTCTGCCTTTTTGTTCTATTCAGGCTCTCAATAGATTGGAGAATGCCCACCCATATTTGGGAGGGCAAGCTGCTTCACTAAGTCTATCAATTCAAATGCTAAACTCATCTGGAAACACCCTCACAGACACATCCAGAAATAATGTTTAGCCAAATGTGTGGGCACTCCATGGCCTAGTAAAATTGACACATAAAATTTGCCATCAAAATAGCAAACTTTTATTTTTCTCTCTTTGTTTCATCATTGTCAACATGTAGTGAGAAACTAATGGTGCAGTATGGCTTCTTGAGTTCCATCCATCACCTCCACCTTTCAGTCAGCAGGAAGAACAAAGGGGATAAAGAAAGAGTTTCCTTCCTTTATCCTTCATCTTCCATCCCCCCTCCCAATAAAAACACTGGAAATAATTACAGATAATGTGAGTATGAAAATATGAATGTTTTGCTATATAAGACAAGCAGCTTATGAGAATAGCATATAGCAATACTGAGAGACTGCTTTGGAAGAAGATAGGTAGAAAAATATGGTCTTCTTATTCCTATCCATCCAATTCTAAAGTCAAAGAAAGATGCTAGCCACACATTCCCAAACAGCAGGAACTGATAACGAGCAAGCTTACTTAAGTGTCTTGTAGCTTTTTTATTATTAAAGTGAGGCTCGAGCCAACTTAATACTGAATTACCATGATATTTTTACAAGAAGAATTGTATCTTTTTTTATGTTAGACACGTGCCTTATTTTACATATATGGTATATGCTAGATATGTATGTGTTAGATACATATTTTATGTTAGATACAAACAAAGCTATTACTTCTGACAAAACACATTGAATAAGTAAGATTCCTTCTCTTATTCACCATTCATTTCGTGATTCACTTCATGTCACACAAACTTCATTTTTGACTCACAAAGTATGTCGCAACAGGCTTTGTGAGGCATAATTATTGAGGCTATTTTTGTGCTGCTATTCACTGCCTTTTCCTAGCTTCTCTGCATTAATAACCAGTTTTTTCCTCTTCACTATTCAGTATCCGACCAAAGAGAACTGGTGACAGCCAATCAGCATCTTGGGTGATGACTCATTTGCATTCAAAAGCTTAAAACTATTGGGTCCTTATCAACAAAAATGAAGCCTGCTGTTACACAGTGGGCTCTGAGCTAGGTCAGTGGATATGGTGGAAAATAAGATATGTTCCTGCCCCAGCACTCTCCCACTGAAAACTGAAATGTTAGATTACAAGAGAGATTTGTATGTTAATACAAATAATTATTGCCACTGACGTCACAGCTAACAAGCTGCCTTTTTTGCACTGAGTTCATTTGAGCTGCAAGGCATCCTCAAGAGAGAAGTGTCTCTATGATTAAACCCTATTTACAGATCAGGAAACTGAGCCCGTGGTAAAAAAAAAACTAGCCCCCACTTCAAAAATTTTTTTAGAAGTCCCACTCCATACTTTCCTCAGTTCTGGAATTCTTTCCAGAAAGTCTGAATAAAAGAGTATGGAGCGTTTTCAGAGTGGTGCCTGAATTTCCAAAATCAGAAACATCTAAGGCGTTTGTCTACAGGGAGACTCCTGGGTCCCATCTCAGACTGACTGAGTCAGAATCCCAGGAGGGGCCAGAGAAGTGGCAGCTTAACAAACTCCCCCAGGTGAGTCTCCAGCCCCCGGCAGTTTGAGATCCACCAGAGTAGACCCTTCACAGACAAAAAAAGGAAAGGTAGAACATTCCTGGCAGGGAGAAGTGTGCAAGCCAAGGTGTGGAGTTATGGGCATTCATAGCAAACTCAGAATCCACAACAGACCAAAATTATCCATTTCATCAATTTCTAGATGACGTTATAGACTAGCCACTGAGTTGAAAATCTTAAAGGGAGGGGCTGAAATGATTTCTAAGCCCTTGATGCCCTGAGTCTCTGTGACAACTTCAGCTTCTTCAATCAGACGCAGGCTACAGCAGCTGGAAGGTCGAAAGTCTGCCTCTTTTGAAACCGGGAACATTTAATTTAACCCCAGACACAATCTGCTGCTGGTTGCAAAGATTTGCTTTCTTCCTCTGGGAGAAGATTTTTCTCGCTGAGTTATACCCAGGTCCTAAACTAACTATATATGGGAATAATCAGAGTACAGGACTGGAAGCCAGGAGACTCGGGTTCAAATCCTGTCTCAGCCACAGTACTCATTCTGCTTCTTAGTTTGCAAGT